GGGGGTTCTCCTACAAGAGGGTTGTGGATTCCCTCCCTCATGTAATAATTAATCTGTAATTTGATATCGTTGAACCGGTGGACAAATTTTCAATCAAGTTGTTTGGGCTTAGAGACGTCGTATACAAGCATTTCTTGTCTTTACCGCACTGTTGGCAGAAACATGATACATACTTGTCCTGCCAAAAAAATCCAAAAAACAAAACAGCTTAACAAAACAAACAAAACAAAACAAAGAAAAAAAAAGCAACAACGACAACAACTACCCCCCCCCCCCCAAACAAAACGTCTCTTTAAAAAGGAGCAATTGCTGACACATTGATAGATCTAATGTTAGCGCAGGTAAACAACGCATACTCATGTAACAATTTGAAAAAAGGAAAAAGAAGTTTTTCGTTTACCTTCACAAAGATTTTGTCTTCTAGTTAAGTTATTCTGTGTGTCTTTTGTCTCCTATCTGCGCTTCTTTCTTCTCTGTTTATCGAATGTAGCTGAACACCCTTGATTTTCTCTTCATGCATCAAGCTTAAAACTCTTTCTTTCCTAAGAAAACTTTGTATTTTTTGTTTTGTTATTGTTTTTCAAAGTTTTGTTTGATTGTTTGTTGTGTTTTTCTTGTTTTGTTTTGTTTTGTGTTTTTTTTTTGTTTTTTTTTTTGGGGGGGGATTCACATGCTTAGAGTTAGTTTTCACAAGCCTATCCTTCTTGTTTTTACACTTCCAGAGCAATGCTTTTGCTTTTCTTTTGTACATTTCATTGGTGTTTTGAACGTAAATTGTTGTTGAACCTGTTCTATTATTATTTTCTTCTTCTTTCTTGTATAAGACATTAATTTATCGTCCTTATCTTTCCTTCTTTCTTTGTATGCCACTCTCTAGTAACACCTCTACTCTAATCTTCGGCACTTATGTGATGTGTTGCAAGTGCCTTAAAACTCTTTCAAAAACTAAAACTAAAACTAAACCTAACGAACATTAACGGTGTTGTTTTTGTAGCTGCTGTTTCTTCTATTATTGGTGGGTGGTTGGCGAGTGCTCTGGTGTGGTTTACTCCTTCTTTTTTATAAAAAAAACTATCGCCGTTATCTCCCCTCCTTCTTTTTGCGTTTGTTACTCTCTTGTAACACCCCTAATCTTCGGCACTTATAATACTTTATTGTGTTGCAAGTGCCGTAAAACTCTAATTAAAACTAAACTTCTATTTTTGGCAATGACTATGCTGGCCTTGGGGTAGTGTTATCTGCCACAGCTTCTTTTCCTGTACTGTTGCTGTCCACGTTGTCCTCGTCGTAGCCGTTATTGTTGTTGTTATTGTTGTTGTTGTTGGTGGTGGTGGTATTGTTGTTGTTGTTGTTGTTGTTGTTGTTGTTGTTGTTGTTGCTGTTGTTGTTACTTCCCTCACTGCTTCTGACTACAGTCAAAAGTGTCTTTATCTTTAGGCCTTTTCCAAAGGGGGGACATTAACCATGTTCTTATGCAAAGTAGAATTGTAATTGTAAATGGGTTGATCCATCATTGTCATGCTCATAATAGTCATAACTGTGCCTGAACTGCAACAGGGAATTACTTTTTCTTTCCTAATCTTTACTATCGTCATTTTTCCTCTACTTCTTTTGTATGTTTGTCACATTCTTGTGACCCGCTATTTCCGGGGTGCCTTGACAGTCGAAGCAGACTTTGTGCTGCTGAAGCTAGAGAGGTGAGAAGAGTAAGTCTGATTCCCTGTAAGGATTACTCTGTTGACATCCACCCCTTGGCGCTCATATGACCTTATGCAGTTGCGAGCGCCGTAAAACCTCTACTAAAACAAACCTCACTGCTATGCCAATCATCCACAACTGCCTGTGGTCCCCAGTTATCTGAATAGGGAATTGCGTCGGGAAGGGATTGGGG